GCTGGGACACAAAATCTCAGAGAAAGGGATCGAGGTGGACAAGGCAAAGATCGAGGTGATGATGAGTCTGCAGCCACCAACATCAGTCAAGGGGGTTCGCAGTTTTCTGGGCCATCAAAGATTTCTCGAAGATTGCCAAACCCCTGACGCAGCTGCTGTGCAAGGATGTGAAATTCGAGTTTGATGATGCATGTTTGGAGGCATTTCACAGGATAAAAGGAGCTTTGGTCAGCGCTCCTATTGTCCAGCCACCAGATTGGGAACTACCTTTTGAGGTCATGACCGATGCTAGTGATTATGCAGTGGGAGCAGTGCTGGGACAGAGGAAAGAAAAGAGGCTCCACGTCATCTATTATGCTAGCCGAACACTCGACAAGGCTCAGTGCAGATATGCCACAACTGAAAAGGAGCTTCTTGCAGTGGTTTATGCTTTTGAGAAGTTCAGGTCCTACCTTAATGGGTCGAAAGTTGTTGTTCACACAGACCATGCAGCTCTGAAATACCAGTTGACGAAGAAGGATGCCAAGCCAAGGCTCCTTCGATGGATCCTTTTGCTGCAGGAGTTTGATTTGGAGATTAAAGACAAAAAAAGGATTGATAATGGTGTTGCAGACCACTTGTCGAGGCTGAGGATAGATGATGACATTCCACTAAATGACAGCCTTCCTGATGAACAAGTTTACGCCATAGATGTTTCTGGGTTCGACGAGCATCTGCTCCCCACCGGAGCACCTGCTCTGACGAGTTTTTGCAACCAAGTTGACATAGATCGGCATTCTGGTTTCCCATGGTTTGGAGAGATTGCAAATTACCTTGCTGCAGAGCAGGAACCTGCAGGTTTTGTGGGAAACAAAAAGAAGAAGTTTCTGAAGGATGTGAGGCACTACTTTTGGGATGAGCCTTATTTATACAGGCATTGCTCTGATGGAATTTTCAGAAGATGTGTAGCTGACGAGGAGATACCAGGAGTGTTGTTTCATTGCCATGGATTCTCTTATGCAGGTCACTTCGCCACTTTCAAGACTGTGTCGAAAATTCTCCAAGCTGGGTATTGGTGGCCAACGATGTTCCGAGATGCAGCGAGTTTTATCTCCAGGTGTGACACATGTCAGAGACAAGGGAACATCAGCAGGAGGAATGAGATGCCTCAGAATTTCATCTTGGAAGTAGAGATTTTCGATGTGTGGGGTATAGACTTCATGGGACCTTTTCCATCATCTTATGGGAATGAGTATATTCTGGTGGCAGTTGACTATGTGTCAAAGTGGGTGGAAGCTCTGGCTAGTCCCACAAATGACGCAAAGGTGGTTTTAAAGATGTTCAAATCTGTCATTTTTCCCAGGTTTTGTGTGCCGCGAGTGGTGATTAGCGATGGAGGCTCTCACTTCATCAACAAAGTCTTTGAAAACTTGTTGAAGAATAATGGTGTAAGGCATAAGGTGGCGACCCCATACCATCCTCAGACGAGTGGGCAAGTTGAGGTTTCCAACAGGGAAATCAAGAACATTCTGCAGAAGACTGTGAGCACCACAAGGAAGGATTGGGCAGTGAAGCTTGATGATGCTCTTTGGACATACAGAACAGCTTACAAAACACCTTTGGGGACTACACCATTCCACTCGGTGTATGGAAAAGCATGTCATCTTCCAGTGGAACTTGAGCACAAAGCTGCTTGGGCAGTGAAGCTGCTGAATTTCGATGCAAAGAGTGCTCAGGAGAGGAGAGTAATGCAGTTGCATGAGCTGGAGGAAATTAGGCACCTGGCATATGAAAACTCGAAGATTTACAAAGAGAGGACAAAAGCTTTCCATGACAGGAGGATCCTCAACAGAAGCTTTGCACCAAACGATCAGGTATTGCTCTTTAACTCTAGATTGAAATTGTTTCTAGGGAAGCTAAGATCGAGATGGTCTGGACCATTCACCATCAAGGAGGTTCGACCATATGGAGTTGTAGTGTTGCTGGACACTAAAAGAGGCGAGTTTGTTGTCAATGGACAGAGGTTGAAACCATACCTTGCTGGTCCAAATATCGCAGAAGGTGAATCAGTCACCTTAAGCGATCCTCCTCAAGCCTAAATGGCTTTCCAAGTCAAGCTAATGACTTAAAACAAGCGCTTGGTGGGAGGCAACCCACCGGTAAGAGTCTCTAACTTTGTGCCTTTTATTCTTAGCTACTAACTTTGTTTTTAGATTCTTTGTTTCCAAAAAAAAAAAAAAAAAAAAAAAAAAAAGAGAAAACAGGTAAGAAGTTGTTCAACGTGGAAGAGAAGATGTGAGGAAGAAGAAGGAAGAGCACCCAACCGGAGCACCTGCTCCATCTGCTGGGTTGGTTGCTCAAAGCGTAAAAACTGACGAAAGAGCACCCCCTCCCAAGTCGGAGCACCTGCTCCACAGGGTGCTCACCAGGTAAAAAGTGACGAAGGAGCAACCCAAGGGAAACCGGAGCACCTGCTCCGGCACCTGCTCCAGACGAACAAAAGACGAGAGAGCATCCAGCTCTGTTCCGGAGTACCTGCTCCGCCAGGGTGCTGTACATGTGCGAACCAGGTAAGTTTTTTTGGACACTTCTCTAGCTTATTTTTACACCGGGGACGGTGTGAAGTAAGTCTGGGGGAGGGTCGTGTTCCTTGTACTTCTTTCTTTTGCTTTCTTCCTTTTAGTACTTTCTTTGAGTCAGTTTTTAGTTTGTTTGTTTGAGTCATTTACTTTCTTTGAGTCAGTTGGTTATATAAGTCAAGTCAAAACTTGTGGGAATGAGGACCAATTCTATGATGATTTCAGACCATTTGTGAATCTTGACCATCTTCTTCTAGTGATTATTGCTGCAGAATCATCTAGATCGACTAATGGAAAATCCAAAGACAAAGCAGTAGACTAGAGGAGCCCAGAATTCTTGACTAATCCATTGAACCTGAGCTAATTTCTCATCTCTTCATTTTCCTCATCGATCAGGTTAGTGCTCATAGGGCTTGACTCCTCATTCTTACCTGACAAATAAAGACCTGTGTGATAGATTTGGTATTCCTCTCTTATGTTCTAAGCATTGTTTCAGGCTGTTTCTAAAAAAAAAATAAAAAAAAAATGAACAAAAGGCAGAAAAGATTGAAATGATTTTCTTTTAGAAGTAAAGGGTTAGGAAAATTTCCAAGGATCCCATTATTTTACTTCTAAAGTGGAATGATCACACAAGGGATGGAAGCGAGGGGTAGGAAAATTTCCTGTGACCCCATTATTCGTCTACACCTTTGATATATAATGAAGGGACAAACCGGGGATTCGGTGGCAATCACCATCAATACTCGCGTCTTTGAACCTTGTTATATGTGCCGAAAAAAAAAAAATGAAACAGCTTGAAAAGTGAATAAGTTCGGGGGAGAGGAAAGGTACTTTTGTGTAGTATGGTCAATTTGTTGAGGTATAAGTATGGGAACGAGTCTAGAAGGTCCTTAGCACTAGTTTTATCGATGAGACTCAGCAATGATGGGACATGGATGATGTTATGAAATTGAGGGACTAATCTGGAAAGCTGCAGCGTCTACGGAGAAGTACATGGAGGTTAGATTTTTGATTGATTTTGCAGCAGATTGTCACATGCCTTGGTCAGGTTTACGGTCTTTTGAGTTTTGCAAGTTCCCAGCTTTATCCAGTCATTCTTTTGGAGTTGAATTTGAGTTTGTTTGAGGACAAACAAGGATTCAAGTTCGGGGGAGTTGATGAGTGGAGATTTTGACTCATTCTAACTTGTGTTTACTGATTGTTTTAGGAGTTTTTGGAGTCTTTTCAGGAAGTTTCAGGTGACTTAGAGGCCTTATCAAAGGATTGGAGTGTTTAGGAGGCATTGGAGCAAAAGGAGATGAATTTGAGAAATAAGGAGCTATTTCACACGTTTTTGGAGAAATCATCCCCGGAGCACCTGCTCCCGGTTTGGACCCTTCGTGGAGCACCTGCTCCAGACGGAAGTAAAATAAGGAAATCGACTTTTACCTAATTTTAGGAGGAGAAATAGAATAAAAAGTCCACAGCCGCCTGTGTTTTATAATCACGTTTTTCTACAGACTTTTTACGCTTTCTTTTTACAATTTCCTGAACCAGAGAGTTTTTACTTGTAAGCTTTTGGGAGAAGAAATCTGCTACACTTGAGAAGAATTCTGAACCCTATTATCTCTTCTGCGATTTTTAATCTATGAATTCCTTTTCATCTGTTGCTGTGTTTCTTTTCTCCATGTCTGAGTAGATCTCTTAGCTAGATTAAAGCGTTCAAAGGATTTCATGAGTTAAAGGATTAGATGCAAATAGGGCTTGATATCTATTGTCTTCACCATTGTTAGACTTAATGCTTAGGTTGAATTGATCACTCAATCTGCGATTTTAGGTTAATCTATTCATCAAAAGTGTAATAGGTTGCTAGAATAAACATTGGTGAGCAATTTGTCCTTAGCCAACGACAGTTGAAGTTAAGGCAAATCGTGAACAGATCAAACCTGCTAGCTAATGCTTGTCTGCAATTTTCTAAGTTCAAACGACAGTTTAGGATTTAGGTTGTTAGACAAAGTTATCGAGATCACGACAGTGGATCGATAAGCTTTTCTGTTTGAGTTCGAGACTTGCGTTACACTTGTGCCCTGAATAGTCATCTGATTCTTATCTCTGAAATTCCTGCGAATTGCTTTGGTCTAGTGCTTGTTTTAATTTGAATTTAAATCGTTGTTTGCCATTCTGTTTACTTTTTAGTTTTCGAAACAAACCATCTTTCGTCTTAGCTTTAATTTAATCCTCGCAAAGTCATAGAGTAACACTGGTCCTCTGGATTCCGAATCCTTTATATTACAACTACATCACTGTTCTATTGCAGTAGAAACTAGGAGTACATCCAGTGTGAATCATGCCTCAATCAATAACAACAGGATCTACCAAAACTGTTACACTGTCTTTGTGTGTGCACATGCAGATTTATACATGTAAATATGTGATAGCTAATCAATAATGAAGTGAAGTTACCTCAGAGAGTGTAGTAAAATAGCAAGAGCGGCATTTGGGCCCATAGGAGTCGCCACGACACTGAAGGGTGATAGAGATGTAATTAGGACCTTCACCATTGGACATAAATTCCAAAACCCATGCTAAAATTATTGTTTAAAGGGATGTTATCGGCTATATCTATGAGGCCTTTATCGTACTCACTTCCCGGCTTGTATTTCCCTTGACTGACAAAACATTTGTGCTGTAGATACGCATTAGTCATGTTCAAGGACGAAACGTTGCGTATAAGGAAAAGTTGTATGGCCATCACGGCCAAGATAGGAACCGAAACGAGGCGTTTTGATACCGACGAGGTAGAGTACATTGTTCTGGCTTTCTTTCTTTTTTCTACAAAGAAAGTTGTTGTTTCTTTATAGATGAAACTGAAAGTTGGAATCTTATCACACACAAAAAAAACAAGAAGTTTGTAATTATAGAAATTAACAATTACTTCATTTGAGTGTTGCACCGTACAAATCGTGTGATTGTAGGAGTGTTTTTTTTTTTTTCTTTTTCTTTTTTTTGGTGTAATTGAGTTTGAACTCAGTCTCACCCTTTTGTCGCCGCAAAAGTCTTAGGTCCCCACTATTCTCTCATGTCCATTACAAACTGTAAACATTTGGTGCAGATCTGAAAACCTGTGGGGCATTTTCTAATTAACTCTTTTTCACAACAGTAACCACCTTTGAATCAACGCATCTCCCATATTAGCCATTCATCAGGAGGTCGATCCCACTAAAAGCTCGTCGTGACAAAAGCACGAGTTCTCTGTTCTCGTACAAACCAACCCGAATTTGTCCAACTCCGAAACACTAGGGAGGTTACCTTGTACTGGTGCACCATTCGTTTTTGAGCAAGAACCCATGAGATTTTCGCTCTCAGGCTTTTAGGTTTTGTCATTCATGGACTCCCTAAAGGCTCAACTTTTCATTGCGATTAGCTCATCTTCTATACACTGCCTTATGGTAATGACCATTGATTCATCATACGATGAAGAGATGTCACAGCACTGTCGACGTGGAGCCTTCATCTGAGAATGTTCAAGAGTAAAGAGTGTTACTACCAAAAAAAAAAAAAAAAAAAAAAAAAAGTGTTACTACAAAAAATGGCTTACATCTACTTTTGGGACAAGTAAGAAGGTAACAATACTTTACCTGCTCAACATTAAGCTCCATTTTATGGGACACTACTCGGATTTGCTTTAGATGCTTAATAGCTTCAGCTCTGCGACAATTCTCCACACTATATCGTGTATTACTCCACGTCCCTCTGCTTCCATCTGATCCAACGCTGTCTAGAAAAAACACCAGCGGTCTAACACAACGGCCCTTGGATACTCCCTTGTATTGAACATATAGTTACTTTGGACGCCTTACCCTCTCATCCATGTAGAAAAGGTTTATTGAACTCTTTTAAATGAAAAGTGTCACCGGCCGAGCTGGCTAAACATCGTTAGACCCGCTGATTTAGCTAGAAGGTTTGGTTTTCGGTGATTCTTTTGATTATTTATGGGCCGTAAAGATGGGCTCCACTAATTGAATTTATATATTACGTTATTGATAGATTTGGGCCTACTTAGCCATTTTTTAATTAGGGCTTGGATTGATTAGCTACAATTCCCAATCAACTTGTCGATATGTTAAAACGGGTTGAACCGATCCAATGATTGATATTACATCAAGGTTAAGCTACTAACTTTAGGTAAAAAACAAACAAACCAAAAGAAAAATAAAAAACTAGTAATGTTCAAACAACAGTCTAGGTGCGGCTGCTGCCTAGGCATTAAGACTCGTCCACTAGTTATTATTTTTATCCTATGAGCTTATAATTATTCCACATGTAGTAGAGTGGACAAAAATTAACAAAAACAACAACAAAAAAGTAAGAAAATACATTTTCATTTTGTGTACCTTATGTTTGTTTCGCTACGTAGAAGAATTAACCATATTGACTCTAAACGATCAACTATTTTAGATGGATTAGGTATCAAGCAAATATTTGAGGATTGGATACTGATTAGCCTTTCCATACACACTGTTTTCTGAAAATATTGCTCTTTCATCATTGTGAATTTGTGAGGCTGGATTTTGATACACGTTTCTCCATGAATCCAACCGATTTATCTCTCAAAGTTGCAACCTCTCTCCCAAACTTGTGATCATTTAATTACACACAATGTTTCAAAGTCAAAGCAACGATATTTTTTTTAGTTCAAATTGGCTTTATTTGCAAATAAAAACCCAAAATCTTGTTGATTTAGTATTGATTAGGTAGTAGTAGTTTCTATGGTATATTAGTTCTTTGGATTTACTGAATAAGTGAATATCAGTTACTAAGTTATTACAACATACCTGAACTCTATTGTTATTAATTAATAAATAATATTACACAACAATATATATGCATGCGGACTAAACTCGTAAAATTATATCGACGATATTGATACAAACTGCAAGACTATATGTGTTCGTCTCCAAACTCTGTTTCTCACATGTTTAAAAAATAGGTTCAATATAAAAATATAGTTTGCTTTTAAGGTTCCAAAAAAAAAATTTGCTTTCAAAACCGTTTATGCTGATGAAAATCGACTCGAACAAACTGCTAACATCGATCAAAATTCAAAATGAATAATATTTATTTTATGTACTGTACTAGCCAAGTAGCCAGGGTTGTAGTTACGCGTATACATACGTAAATGTGATATTATGTCCTACGTACCAACTATATAATAACTAATATACAAATACAAAGTATCGCAACCCATAATATAACTCCGAAAAAATAATGGTCACATACTTTTAGGAAGATTGGACGGCTAAGGTCTCGTACCAGCAGGCAAAAATAAACAACAGACAGAAAATCTGAGGACAAAATGAGAAAAGAAAAAAGCTTTGATTGTTGAATCAATATGATCCACACAAGTGGACTTACGCATCAACATTGAATCAACTTGTGGACAACAACAACATCTCTTTTTCCATAACGTATTAAACACAAAATATAATAAGATTATTCGTCTCATTATTAATGCAACCGGTCTAAACAAGTGTACGTATTGTTGATCAGTCGATACCACCCGTTTTAGAATATCTTGGCATTCTTTAATTGGCAGTATGATAATGGATCTGAAATCCATAATTTTTTCGGTCTGATAAAGAAAGCATATTAAACTATTTCATTTACCTTTAGATATGAGAGATACCTTTTTTAATATAATAGTTAGATATAATTCTACAAAATACTCTACAAATGTATGTATCTATATAGTTTTCGTAAAACTGTTTGTATAACTAACGGTTTTGTCAATTATTCTGAATCTTGGTTTATTTTGTCTACTTTGAGCTAGTGTCCGGCATAATATGATGTGAACATATGTGAATTATTAATCTAAGGGAGAGTTATGAACTGTTAAATTTTTTTATTGGCATGCTGCACTTATTTATTTAAGGGATAGTTTTGTTTTACCAATATTTAAGGGAGAGTTATCACTTTGTAAAAAAAAAAATGTATGACTTGTCCATTACATTATAAACAATAGCAATGGATTGTTGCTTGTGTTTTTTTTTCTTGGTTTAAGGGTTGTTTATGTTTTAAACCGTAAATATATATATATATATATATATAATTAGAAACAGTACATATTGTTGTTGACGAAATCAGTTTTAACACTTTTTTTTGTACTAATGCTTTTCGATTACATATATACGTAGTAAGCAATTACACGCAATGTATGGCACTTCTAGTAAACAAACCCCTTTTAAATTAACTGACATTATTCCTTATTTTGTGGGGTAGCTTTCATTAAAAACAAACATATAAATGGCTAAAAAATAAACCCAAAGAAAAAAACCTTTAAATGTGAACCATACAAGCGAAGTCCTCTTTGCTTGGTCTGATAGTAAGCTCGTATAATTAAATAAAAGTTGACTGATTAACCACCACACAATGGCCCAAAGACAACTAATAACAAAGATATTGATATCACCCTAAATTCTAGCCGTTTCTTATGCTTACCCCACTTTCTTCCACTAATTACTTGGAAGTATGATTTATTTCTTTATAGCCAATCCCTTGTTTTCTAGATAATTCAGTCACAACTTACAGTAGGAAAAACAAATTTTTATAAAATTAGATGTAATAAGAAATGGATAATAATGAATACCAAATTTTTGTTTGGTGACATGATTTTTGGTCCGACTAATTCTAGAACCTTATATCATGGCAATGCCTCAAAATTTATACATATCTCCCCTAAGAAAAAGAAAAAAAGAAAAACACAATGATTCATATGAAGTGGTTGGCGATCTATACTATGGAGTTTTGTTTTTAAAAACTTGAAAGTTGTGCACCCAATATGAGGTCGAAAGATCGCTTGGAGGAGAAAAGTTTTCACAAAATTGATTGACGAATTTACCATTTAAGGGCATTTACGTCAAAATAACAGGGCAATATTCATCCACGTGTAACAACAAAACACAACACACACACATCATTCTTTCATGGAAGAAAAATAAAGAAAAAAAAAAATCTTCCTTTGCTTTTAACAACAAACAATAATAAAATTCCTATATAAACGTTTAACGTTTCTCCGACTCACAAATCTTCTTTCCCCAATAGCCACCAGAGAAAAAGAGAGAGAAAGAGAGATAGAGAAAATGTGTAGAGGCGTAAATGAAGAAGAGAGCAGAAGCGGCGAAGGAGGTTGCCGGAGTCTCTGCACGAGACCAAGTGTTCCGGTTAGGTGCGAGCTCTGTGGCGGCGACGCCTCCGTGTTTTGCGAGGCGGACTCGGCGTTTCTCTGTAGGAAATGCGACCGGTGGGTACACGGAGCTAATTTTCTAGCTTGGAGACACGTGAGGCGCGTGCTCTGCACCGCTTGTCAGAAACTCACGCGCCGGTGCCTTGTCGGAGACAACTACCACGTTTTTTTACCGTCGGTAACAGCAGGAGAAGCCACTGTGGAGGATATAACGATTCGGAGTGGTGAACAAGATAGTTCTAGCAATCAAGAGGTTCCGTTTGTTTTTCTTTGATTTGTAGTTATTTTTTTTTCGGTGTAAGATATAAATAGGGTTTTTATGCATTTTTCTATCAAACAAAAAAATCTGGGAAAATTAATTTATGTAGCTCGTAATTTTAAGAAATGGGTATTGACTAAAAATAGCAAAACGTTTCTGCAACTCAAAAGGAAAGGAAGAAGAATGTTTTTTTTTTGTTAATGAAGGAAGAAGAATGTTTGCAACTAAAAATATATTAAACAAAAACAATAAATAATATCACCAAACTCAACGTTCAAGCAAGAATTATTCGATCGAACCGTGCAGTACTCTCCAGGTACAAGGGAAATAATAGAGTCTGCTTTGGCTTTTTGTTGGTTGATTTTCCTTTTGCTTTTGTCTTTCATACTTTTTTCTACTTATCATTTTCCTTAATGATAAATAAGTACTACCACTAAACTTTATCACATGTGAAACATCTTCTTCATGCAATGCTAAATGTTAGTGTTTGGCTCCTTCAAGCTAACTGATTAGTAATCAGTACTAAGTAAATATAAAGAATGATGATTAGTCCATAAGTAAAAAAGAAGATGCAATTAGGAACTGCTTTCTATATGGAGTTTGATAGTTCAACAAATCCGTTTACTAGCTGACCATTTAAAAGAGAAAAGTCTTAAAAAAAATCTCGAGTTTGAGTACCAGCGATCAGAAGAGACTAATTCAACATACTCTGATCCGTGGTCCGAAAATATTATGGACCTAAGACTAGTTCCAAACAAGAGTAGAAAGTAGAAACTATCCTTATAATACACGTTAAGCGCGTGCTCTGTACCGCTCTATGGAGAAAGACAGAGAACGAAGCAGATTGTAATCACTGCAGCTTTATTTATCAAAAAAAAAGAATATCTAAAACCATTACTCGTAAAGAGAGGAGGAATTAGAATTTGTCCTATTACAGGAGACCCCCAAAAACGTCAAAAACAAAAATTCAAAAACGAAAGAAACTCTGTAAATAAAGGAAGCAAAATTACAATATTTTCACCATTATTGTTTCCACCTTCTGCGTCATTTTTTCACAACGTCTAAAACTCTTCGTGCAGTTCTCCAACGTTCCCATGCCGAAACATATTGATTTCATCGATTCAAAAAAAAAAAAAAAAACACTGTACACAATAAGACAAACGATTACGTTACTTATCCGACAAGAAACTAAAAGGTAACCATATATCATCATCATTAGAAGAAGAAGAAGAAGACTTACATTGTTTTAGGGTTTAAGAAAAAATCAGTTGTTCGTCGTTGGTGATGATGGGTCATAGTCATAATTATCACCAGCTTTCACAAATCTTCCTTTCACTCTTTTTCTCGTGTCAGCTCTCGCTTTGCGAGATGCATATCGAATCTGTTTCCCAAAACTACAATACGAAAAATCAAACTTGAATCCATGTTTGTTTATGAACTCTGTTTTCTAACGACTTAAATAGAGAAAAAAAGAACTTACGTGCGTTTTAGTTTCTTCTCTTTATATCTCAACTTAGCCTGATTCCTTGCTTGTGGACAACGACCTTCAAGATTCGATTCCCATGGCGAATCGCTCATTATAAACCCTGGAGACATACCACAATCCTGGTAGTCCGCTGCACTGCTTTCACCTGTGATGTTGGAGATGGTAAGCGACATGGACGGATGGATTTGTCCGAACAAGACAGGTGATGCAGGAAGAGGAAGAGCAAGTCCAGTGTTGATGTTCATTTGCAACGGACCTGACTGATGATAACTCGTGCAATCTTGTTGTCCTGGTGATGATGCCTGAAACAGAATAACCCAAATTCATTAAGGTAATACTAATTACATTAGTTCAAAAAGGAACAAGAAAAAGAAAGCCAAAAGAGACCTCTAAAGCGTTGTCTCCTATAGTAAAGTTTGAAGCGGTAACAGATGTGTTGTTCTTGTCGACCAAGATACAATTTGGTACCGTATGGTCTGATTCTATGTGTTCTTGTGATGAGCAACCAATGATATCATCTCCAACATCAAAATTTAATGGCGCATTGTCCAAGTTAAGCCCTTCGCATATATCTTCTTCGCCTTCTTCAAGTTTCAAAACCAAATCAGGACATCCCTGAAAAACACAGAAGTGAGAACCGCATTGTCCATCAAGAACTTGAGAAACACGTTTCATTGCTCTTTAACTACCTTAGATTCCACGGAAAAGAATGATGATTGGTCACTGAGATTCTGAGTGTAACTGATGTTGTGTGGCACCATAGAATAAGAGGAACCGACCAAACGGTCTAATTCGTTAATTTTTGCCATTCCGAATATAGCATTGTTGGGATTACTCAAAGGCAAAGAAGCAACAAACGGGTTAACCAAACCGGAGACAGGAGGTTCAAGAATTGAAGACCACATTCTGACAAATTCTGCTGGAGAAGGACAACCAGAGAAAGGATTCAGACTTTGAAGTCTGTGTCCTAAAACAGAGCAGTTACTTGTGTGCCAGTGACATCTTTGGCAATATGAAACATTCTCGTCCTGACAACGGATTACACCTAGCTGTGAAAAGCATTTCTCGCATATCAAAGAGCGTGTGTGCCTGCGAGATAGAGGATTTGCAGAGTGTACGTGGACGTCACAGTTTAGGCATAGTTTAGCCGAGTCGGATTTGCAGTAAATCACTGCTTGTGCGGTTGTACAGTGGTCACACTTTGGCTCCATATTTAGAGACATGACGAACACAAAAGAATTTTGCAAAATTCAAGAAAAATGTACAACAAGAGCTCTAAATGGGAGAATTCTAAACGGAAGGAGGCGATTTTTTGTAATTTCACGATCAGTAAATAAGGTCCTGCAAAACAGAGATTCGTGAACATTTTAGAGCTGCCTCAAAGAGAAATCTTGAAAGAAAAATGAAAATCTTTAGAAATATGTAGATCGTAACAATTGTAATGCATAATGGGGTTTCGTGTGTATTATAATTACGAGTAAAAATGTTGTAATTTGTTACGTTCCAAATAAAAACAATTCTTGAAAACTTCTATAGAGGAAGAAGCACTTACTAATGATGGAGATCGATTAGTCCGATTCTAAATTTTCACAGACAGTCGTGAAACTCAAAACCCATTTACAACGGATTAAAGAAAGAGAAGCTAAAAACAAAATATTTATTTCTGAATCGAGTGAAAGCAAAGAACGATAGAGAGAGTTTTTACAGTGGTGTAAATCACGTAGAAGAAGTGGAAAAGAAAGAGAGAAAGAGAAGTAGGGTTCCTCTGTTTTTATACGGTGTGAAAACGTTGCACACGTGTTAAAATCCACGTGGAGTAATCAAGTACTAGAAGAAGAAAGGTTAAAAGATCAAATGATATGTGAGGTTTTGTTTTGCTTGCTGCTCTTTTTTATACCGTGTGAAAACGCGGTCCCGCAAATATACTTGGCACTGCTCTGTTTTTATCAATGCATATGCATTTTATGAAAATCTCCACGTCAAAATCCACGTGGCGTAATCACGGGCCGTCATAAGATTTTTTTTTTTTTGAACAATCCGTCACAAGATATTTTATGAAGACGTAGGCATTCATCGCTTAAGGTCATCTGATTCTTTATTTTTCGATAGATTTTGTGCTTTATGGCAGACCTTAAAATTCGTCGTCTCGGGTTGATGATACTGTAGTTACTTACTTGTGGTTCCCAAGAAATTTCTAGAAATCGTTTAGAACATGCATGTCATAATTATTAATGGTGAGCCACGTTTCTTATATTTGTTTTTTTTTTTTTAAAACGCGTCTGCCTGAAAATATTTCGATTTCGCGTATCTATTTAAGATTATGTGTAACACAGGCTATGCATGTAAGATGTCCTTTTTTTTTTTTTAACATTAGACAATGCATGTAAGAAGTCTTCTAGTAAAAACCAAAAAGTCTTCTAGTACTATACATTAATATATCTCTAATAAGTTTTTTCCAGATAAATTGTATCTCTAACTTTTCTATTAGAGATTTGGTAGAAAATAAATTTATCAGATCAATTTATTTGTAAGTAAGAAAAGTAATTTAGGCCACACCAACTTCTTTATTAGTTTACTCAACATTAAAAAAAAATTATGGTCAAGGAAAAAAAAACTATATTATTTTAAAGTTGAAAGAAGTTATATTGCAAGAAATTTCGGATTCAATTACCTTGACTCGTGGACATATTCAACAGAAAATATAAAAGCTTAAATTTTTATAAGTTTTGAGAAATTAGTTACGTTTTAACTGTTTATTACTTTAATTGTTAAAGAAAAAAAAAATTTACTATTCCTCTTCCGACTCAATGGTTAACATGTTTGTCTTTTTGTTTAATTTTTTTTTCACATTTGCAACAATCTAATATTACTATATTAAGTAGAGAAAAGTAATTTAGGCCACATCAACTTCTATATTACTACTTAACATTAAAAAAAATTATATTATTTTAAATTTAAAAGAAGTTATATTGCAAGAAAAGTTGGAATCAATCACCTTAACAACTCGTAGACATTTTCAACAGCAAAAATAAAAACTTAAATTTTTATAAGTTTTGAGAAAGTAATATACGTTTTAGCCGTTTATTACTCCAATTGTTAAAAAAAAAACAAAGATATTTACTATTCCTGTTCCGTATAGATACGTAGGAGACCTTAACTACTCATTAGCTACTACTCATAGACATTTTCAACAGCAAAAATAAAAACTTAAATTTTTATAAATTTTGAGAAAGTAGTCTAATAGTTTGAGCCGTTTATTACTCTAATTGTTAAAGAAAAAAAAAAGATATGTATTATTTCTGTTGACAAGTACGTAAGAGACTCAATGGTTAACACGTTTGTCTTTTTGTTTATTTTTCACATTGTAACAATCTAATATTACTAAATTTAGTGTTTACATCGAGATATAATAGGAGTATGCAGCAAAATAAGTGGGAGTCTATATTACTTTAAAGTTCAAACAAATTATACACTATTCCTATTCGTAAAAATACATAACTACGTAAGAGAGTTGACGCGGTTAGTCTTTTTGGTTTTTTTTTTATTTTATTTTCATATGAAAAAATTAACATTATTATAATTAGTATTTTTTTTTTGAGAAAAATATAATTAGTATTTAGATCGATATATAATACGAATATGCTGATTTATGTGATAACTGATTTATATATTTGCTCGAAAATACCAAAAAAAATATCGGAATCCTATCTTCTAATGAAGTGACGTGTCAAATCCATCTCACATGCTTCTCAAAAAGTCAGACGAAACATGATAACATCCCCACGTAAGCTCTTCAAACTCATCGTATCTCCACCACCCAATCAACAAGCTAAGACCCAAAACGAACGACACAAGTCACACATGATGGCCCATTAACGAGAGAAGAGAACCAACCATGCTAGCCTCAACCGGAGAGGATGAACCGGACGCGGTCACCGGACCAGATCCTCCGCCAACAGAAGCAGCCACTCCAAGAGTGCTGACTATAATCTCCCATGTGATAGAGAAGCTCGTCGCAAGGAATGAGTGGTTGGCTAAGCAAACTAAGGGATTCGGGAAAAGCTTGGAGGCGTTTCACGGCGTGAGAGCACCAAGCATAAGTATAGCCAAGTACCTTGAGAGGATATATAAGTACACAAAATGTAGCCCGGCGTGTTTCGTGGTCGGGTATGTGTACATAGACCGGTTGGCTCACAAGCATCCTGGTTCTTTTGTTGTCTCCATGAATGTTCATAGACTTCTTGTCACTTGTGTCATGATTGCTTCCAAGATCCTAGACGACGTGTAAGCCTTTCTTGAATTAATCATATAGTATATATCATGAATAGATACGACCGATTATAGAGATATAGTTGTGTTTGTTAAATAATTTAGAAAATGAAATATACTATCTTATATGTAACCAATATAAAATGAGGACAAGCTTTTTAACCAATGTTATCAAGTTGTTGATTTTTAGATTTCTATCTATATTAAATGAGGCATTATAAAGTTCTTAAGAAAACTAAATTCATATTCACAGGCACTACAACAACGAATTCTACGCTCGAGTTGGAGGGGTGAGCAACACGGACTTAAACAAAATGGAATTGGAGCTTCTCTTCCTCCTTGACTTCAGGGTTACAGTGAGTTTTAGAGCTTTTGAGAGCTATTGCTTTCACCTTGAGAAGGAGATGCTACTAAATGGTGATGTTTCTTCCCTCCATGATAGTAGACCAATGCAAGAGACTCTCTCTACTGCATCTTCTCTATATGTTTAACGTTTAGTATATAAATTTTTACTCGTCTCTTAACTGTACGCGTTTGGTTGACAGAAAAAGTTTATCAACTGATATTTGAATCATAAAATTTATATTCCTTGAAAATTTGTTTCAAATTCAAGTTATAGAAATCAATCAATTCCACACATTTATGTATACTAGACTAGGATTACCATTTATCATGTAAACAGGTTAATTTGATAGCTATATTGTTAAAATAAAGCAAATATGGTTTTCTTTCCAACGTGTTTCTCATGTGGTTTTTGTTCTACATATTCATCTCTCTGTTTCTTCTTTTCACGTGTAAAATGATACGCCCTGATGAATCAAGTATCAGACAATAGTAATCTGAAAACAAATCTTGTTCCCTAAATTTACTTACACTTCGGATTGTCTTGTGTTTTATCGTGTAAAAGTTCCCTCAAGAGAAGACTCAAGACCCAAAACAAAACGCACCGTTTTTCATTCATTTTCCAACGTTGTAGATCAGATCCATCGCACCCTACGGTATAAAGCGTGGTCTCTCACACACGCTTTATCAATTGCCACGCTTGAAATAGACACGTGTCGGTTTCATTGGTTTGGACTTTGCCAAGTTTTTGTTCTACGGGAAAGTACAATTCCTCTCTGTCTCTCTCTCTCTAAAGTCGGGGCTCGAGAACAGTGCCTTTCTTTTCTGGATATCCGAAAGCTGAAGCTAAGAATCTCTTCATAGTTCGATTTTTTCGTGTTAAAACGACGACGGTTTTTCAAAATTCGGAGAGGTTATGGCGGAATCGTCGTCTTCTTCGTCGCCTACTGAAGAGATTGTTCGAATGATCAAGCGATTAAGCGCTTACGTTGCTTTCAAGATGTCTAGCCTCTTCTCTACATCAATTCGGAATCTGGTTCTCTCTCGATCTCTCTCTCTTTATCCCCATTTTTCCTTTGCCCTTTACACGGTTTTCTGTAATCGGATCTGGTGAGATTTGGGGTTTTCCGATGGCGGGAATTTCTGGGACTGGGCTGCTTTATTAGACTGATTAAAGTGGAGATTAATGGTCTGATTTGAGCTTGATTATTGCACGAGATGTCTAATTAAGTTTGTGAAGGATAGAGTTTAATTTGTTCCGAAGATAGATAAATGCGAGCTCTAGGGAAGTAATTGAATTCATTAGTTGAATATCTTCTTTACATCGTTTCCATCTAAAAACTGAAGGAACTAATTACTCAGCTCAAAATTGGCTTTGCTATTTCAGTACTGGGTTTAGCTGCCTGTGGGGAAAAATCACAACTTTTTAGTAATTATTGCTATTTAGATTCGTTTTTTTCACCTAATTAAGTCGTTAAATTAGGATTCACGATCGATTGGTGCTATTGCGGGGCTTGCAATTGCTGTGATTTTCACATGGAGGGCGATAAGAACGCCACGGGAACGTCAGAGAAGGCAGCCAAAACGCAGGACGCAGCAGTCAGGTGAAACCTCTAGTGCTGCTGCTGCTCAGTCAAATCTAACTTCGAATCCTCCCGACGTTTCTTCGCCGCATGATGTTACCGGAGTGCAAGATGTCGTTGATCAGTTTTTTCAGCCTGTAAAAGTAGCATTCTCTTTCTCTCCCAAATTTGTCAATTTTCTTTGTTAAAGCATTAACCTTTTCTGTTCTGTTATAATTTTAAGCTCTTTTTTTGCAGCCTACATTGGGTCAAATAGTTAGGCAGAAGCTTAGTGAAGGAAGGAAGGTAATTGCATGCCAGCATTGATAATGTTTTGAAAATTTAATCTTTTGGCTATGTTTTTGTACTAGTTCAAGCACCTTATTGAAGCATTGGGTCAGGTTTATCATTGTGTCGAGCTTAACCCTTGTCTAATATGCATTTGTAGGTAACATGCCGTCTTCTTGGAGTCATTCTTGAGGAATCAAGTCCAGAAGAACTTCAAGTAGTAATTTTTCCTTTTGATATTCATTTAAATGTCGCATGATGTGTCTGTACCTGACTCAAGCAAAATCTATGCAGAAACAAGTAACCGTGAGGTCATCCGTTCTGCAAGTTCTCCTAGAGATTACAAAGTATTGTGATTTATACCTCATGGAAAGAGTTCTTGACGATGAAAGCGAAGTGAGAAACAACTTTTTTACCCGTTCAATGTTCCGTCTCATTCATGTTCTTTTGTTGGCTTCGTGTTGGTAGTTGGTACTTAGCTTAAAAACATGGGCAGTGAGTAATAACATGGATGTTCGTGTAGATCATAGTTAAGCAATGGATTAATTTTGATAAGAAGGATTTTTAATCACATATATATTTTACAGTATTAAATGCTAGAGACGTTTGTGCGTTCTTGTCATGTCTTTTTTGCGGTTGATCGAGCAAGCGGGTTTATAATTAGAATTTCTGAAACTCACATTGTTGAGCATTTATATGCAGGCCAAGGTTCTAGAGGCTTTAGAGAACGCAGGAGTTTTCACATCTGGGGGTTTGCTCAAAGATAAGGTACTCAATCAAGCTTTCTCATACAATCTTACCAAAGCATGACCTAAATCGATTTTTCTCTGTCTTGAACCATGCAAACACCAGTTAAAAGTCGAATTGGTAACCTATGTTTTGGCAAAAGTGCCAGACTTGCTATATTGTGACATGAATTTTCTTTTGCAGGTCCTCTTTTGTAGTACGGAGATTGGAAGAACTTCCTTTGTCAGACAACTAGAACCTGACTGGCATATCGATACAAACCCGGAAATCACCACACAACTAGCTGTAAAGTCCTTTCCTTGTTTAATCATTATATAAATTCTTATCTTGGTTATTGTTGTTAACTAAGCTCTCTCTTGTATTATTGCAGAGGTTCATCAAATATCAGCTTCATGTCTCTGCTGCGAAACCCGAGCGGACGGCTCCAAACGTGTTCACCTCGCAGTCAATAGAACAATTCTTTGGGTGTGCTTGATGCCAACAACAAAGAAAAGAGAGGTGAAAGATAACGTGAAAACCATAAACTCATAATTTCAGTTTCTGACACAAGAAGAAGCGTAAATGGTCTCGTTTCATCATCGAGCAACTCTCACAGGCCGCTAAGCTAGAAAACTTCTTCTTCCTTTTTATTGTCTTGATGTTTTAAAGTTTGATGTTTTTGGAGTTAGATGATTACGGAGAGATCCTTGGTGAAAGTATCAAAATTGTGTAATTTTTGTATTAGCAGTGTCTTAAGGAAAGAACCAAAAGTCCGTTAATTATGTCTGCATCTCTTCTTGCAGGCTTCTATTATCAGTGGGATATTTGTAATGTGAAGTTATAAATTCGTTTCACTTCTGTTTAACTGATGCAAGAAAGAGCTGGTCGGTTCGGTTTACATCGGTTCGGAAATCAATCTTCTAGAGCTCTGTTTCTTAATCGAGTTTTTGATTTTTCTACAAATTCCAGAAGCATTCCAGTTACTAGGATTCCGTATCGACCAAACCCTACACATATGTCTCACACTAAAGAACTGTAATTGATCGAAATTAAAGTTCTGTCCTTATATCGAAAGAGGCGAAAAGGGTTTAGCAACCCAGTAAAAGCAAAAACACCTTCGTCTCAGAAACACCCGTCGCTCGAATGGCTTCTCTTTGCAAAAGCAGCGATAATCTCTCCGTTGCTGAAGTCGCTGCTCTTCTTGCACCGCTTCCAAGTCTCCAAGTGCAGGCATGCTCCTCTCTTTCTCTCTCTCGAACAAACTCTAGCTTGCGGATGCTAATCTCTTTCTAAGGTTTCTTCTCAAAGTTAATTTCTTTTTGTTTTTCGGTTTAGGAGTATTTCAAAGAGCTAATAACCAGTAGAGGATGCAGTGGAATTGAAGTCAAACACAATGGCAGCATCGGAAAAGGTCCAATTCTTGTTTCTTTTTCTCGAAATTAATCAGGAATTTTTGTAACTTCCTTGTGTAGATTGGTGATATTCTCATAGCTGCTGCAATGCTTGTTTTCGTTTTCGTAATAGAATCTGTTTTCTTCGAATTGGTAGGTGTTTATGCAAATGCAGAGTTTCAGGAAGATGAACTCATTTTGAAAGATCAGATTCTTGTTGGCATCCAGCATTCATCCAACAAGGTGACTAATCCTTTTCCACTTGTGTTCTTTTGGATTCCCATTTGCTTTTGTGAAATTATATTCCTCATCTCTTCTCCACCTAAATTTCAGGTGGACTGTTTGGTTTGCGGTTTTTGTTTCCGGTTCATCGGATCAATCGAAAAACAAATTGGCCGGAAAGTGTATTTCAAGAATATGGGTCTCTCTGGTTGTTGTGATGGCGATTCATCTGAAAGCGAAGAAGATGAGTGCGTCAAGTACAATGTGAATGAGGAACAATGTGGTGCAAGCAGTTCAAATCACAATTCTCTTCCACAAGAAGTTGTTAGTTCTCTGATGAACGGTGAAATTTCCTTGCCGCATACTGATAAATTTCCTTTGCCTTCTCCTCTTTCATGTCCCGGAGGATGTCAGGAGGCTTTCTATTGCAGGTAACTGAGATGTTAATGTCTTTGACGTTTGTTTTCGTTATTGTTTCTACATGCGTAAGATATTTCTGCTGTTACTAATGTGTTTTTTCAATATGATGACACAGTGAATCATGCGCAAAGGCAGATTGGGAAAGTTCTCATTCTTTACTCTGCACTGGTGAGAGGTCTGAATCAATATCTAGAGAGGCTCTTGGAGAATTTGTAAAACATGCTAATGGTAAATATCAAGTCTACGCTGGTTATAATTTCTCTTTGAAAATGGTACTTTATTTATATCTTTTCATTCTTAATTTTCAGAGACAAATGATATTTTTCTCCTGGCTGCAAAGGTACATCTTGTATCAGCTTTCATATCTACTTTTAGAATTATCTTAGATAAAGTACCATGGAACTTTTAACATATTTTAGTTTACTATAAAAAGAAAAAGAAACTAACTAGTTCTCGATAATGGATTATGGCTAGGCGATTGCCTTTACCATTCTAAGGTATAGGAAACTGAAAGCAGAGCATGTGAACAAACAAGCGAAACAGAGTATGTCAAAGCAGTCGCTTCTCTTGGAGGCATGGAAACCAGTATCGATTGGATACAAAAGAAGGTAGATATATTGATGTTGCCATTAGTGACTATCGATGAAAAACATGAATTGCTTGCTCTTCTTTCTCTACGTTTCTGAATATCATCCTAATCACATACGGCAACTCATGTTCAGACATATTAGGCTCCTCCTGTGATATGTCTACACCGTATATAAAGTGTTTAAAACTCTATTTCGGTAGGTGGTGGGACTGCATCGCGTTGCCAGATGATGTTGATCCGTCTGATGAAGGAGCCTTCAGGATGCAGATAAAGGATCTTGCATGTACGGTATGTGTTTTATTTGTATGTATATACTGTTTGAAGGTTGAGTTTGGTTGCCATGTTTTGTGTAGATATTACAATAATCCTGACTATTTTGCCAACTGAATCATATTGTTTCATCTCCAGTCTTTGGAGCTCCTGAAGACAGCTATATTTGACAAAGAATGTGAAGCTCGTATCCTCTTCTTAAGTTTGATATATTATCTGTACCATCGTTTCCTTGTATTATAATTCACTCACAGATGTTCATTCCTTGACGCTGGAAAGTTTTCTCGCTTGAAATCTATGGGAATATCATCGGAATGTTTGAGCTGAATAACCTGTAAGAGTCACCAATTTTCCTCTCTATGTTCTTGCAACACAATGAATAACTCAGAAATGATACCGATCCGTTACATCTTTGGCAGAGACTTGGTGGTAGCATCACCAGTAGAGGACTATTTCTTGTATATCGATGATCTTCCAGATGCAGAAAAGGTCTGAGCAGAATGCTCTTTCAACCTATTGTTGCTGTTATTTTACCAAAATCTATTGACTCACCATTTTCTTAGGAGGAAGCTGAGGAAATCACAAGACCGTTTCTAGATGCTCTTGGTGATGAGTATTCAGACTGTTGCCAAGGTTAGAGATGATGTGAACATTGTCGCCACAAAAGAAAAGAGGAGTTATGTAACTTGTAACCAAGATTTGACAGTATTACATCATCCGTATTTGTGTCAGGAACGGCTTTCTTCCCTCTGCAGAGCTGTTTGAACCATTCATGTTGCCCTAATGCAAAAGCCTTCAAAAGAGAAGAGGTAAACTTTTCTTACATCTTTGTCATCTTTGTGATCTCAAAGGATTGCAGTTGCAATGTCTCCACTCTCTCTTTAAGAATTTTTATTAACACTTTTTGGACTACACTCAATGGATATCTTTTTTCTTGTGGTTGGTTTCGCAGGACAGAGACGGACAAGCAGTCATTATTGCGTTAAGACGCATCAGCAAGAACGAAGAGGTACTCTTATCTTCTCTTCTCTTTACCATAGTAACAGAATGAAAAAAAAAAAAAAATAGCTAGTTTTGAGTTTCATATGGAAACAGGTGACGATTTCATATATAGACGAGGAGCTTCCTTACAAAGAGAGACAAGCATTACTTGCAGACTACGGTTTCAGCTGCAGCTGCCCTAAATGTCTGCAAGATTCATCAGTTCTAGTTTGAAGCCATTAGAACAGAAATTATCAATTTTGCCTAATTTAGGGAATTTTTTTCTCGTTTTAAGGAAGTTTCTTCAGGCAACATCAAAACAACAAAAGGATACAATATTTTATTTACTGTTTTCTTTTCTCAGCTTGGAATGGTTGTTTTTTGTATTAAGATGTCGTTTTATTTCTTTTAGAGCTTAAGAACGAAAACTCTTTGTAAACTCTCATACTCTTAAAAGAAGATTCAAATACAGTAACTAAAGATGATGAACAGAAGCATGTACCGATTCTAATCATTGTTAATATTGCACAGAACAAAATGCAAGGCTCCCCTAAGCAAGTTCCCAAAAGACTACTTAAGAAAAAACGGCTTCTTCTGTTCAAAGTTTTGCGGTTATGGATTCAGATTAATAGATTTTATGATCAGATGGATTCAACGTCATTGGCTTTCCTCTGTTCCATCACATCATCGTTTACATCCTCCTCGTCTCCCTGGATAAACACACACAAGCACAACATTTTTAGGACACAAGTGAGGATCATCGTTACCAAACTGAATATTTAGTTTACCAAACAAGTTTTCGAGTATGCTTACCTGAAAATGGGCATCTCTGAAAGGTGGTGGTGGAGGAAGAGATTTCAGAGGCGAGCCTTTGGTGGATGCTTGACGATTTTCTTCATATTCTGCAACTTCATCAAATGCCCGACCAGCCATGCTCGTAGACGATACTACCTGCAGCATCGTAAACACGTTAAAAAGTTTATTATCATCTCTGCTTATAACCAAGTAATTCCGAGAAACATATCTTTATTGTGCATTAAAGAATCAACTCGAGCAACAATGTCGTTCTCCCAACAGATAAAAAGTAAACACCACTCTGCAAACGGAGAAGAAATTGAAAAAAAAAACGATATAGTACCTTATTACTAGATGAGGTGCCAGAAGAAAACTTTCTTCTTTTCCAATTATCTTCCTTTGATGAGTTAATTGCGTCCTCATCGTTCCGCACTCCACTTTCTTCTTCGGAAAATGCTTTCGAAGAAACCATATTCCAACGAGAAGGTCTCTTCACATTCTCCACCTTCTCTTCTTCACCTCTTCTTATCAAGGCTGGAACAGATGGAGGAAGTTCATTGTGTGTGTTAGTTTGAAAACAGAGATATAAAGGTACTGATTAGTTTACCATCTTCAACAGGTTCGTTAGTAGTAAATTGATCCTCATAATGCCTTTTCCTGAACAGTGAAGAAGTATTCTGCAGCTCATTCTGTGAATCAGAAGCAGTTCTCAGATTCCGACCATTATTCTCTGCATCGCTCACAATATCGACGTCTGCATCCCTGTCGTTGCCTTCATTTCCAAGAAGATATGTACTAAGTTGGTTTCCCAACTTCTGAAGACGGGCTTGTGACCTACAGATTTGACAAATGCATCGGTTATCTAATAAAAATTTTGCATTTTTAAACAGTAAGCAATTAGAATAAAGGGAAAGTGCCCTGCCTCTTTAGATCATCTTGTGCCCGCAAGAAACGGTTATATTCTTTCACAAATTTCTTCGTGCTTGAAGTAATCCTGACATACAAAAGGATTGAACAACAGTCGTCACCAGAAGATCATGTCCAGAATTTGCCAAATCACATGACTGGAAATATATTGCACCCGAATTACTTTCAAGCAAACATCAAGGAGGAAATAGTCATTACCTCTTACATTCCTCTTTCTCTCTATCCAACTGGGTCTTAAGCTCCTGGATCCTAGAAGTAAGAATGTCTGCTTCCTGTGCTTTCCTTTCAAAGGAAGCCTTTGGACAAAAAAGATGTGCCAATCATATATGTCAAGTTAACTCGCATGTAATCAAATTAACTGTGGAATGCAGTGGTTTACCTGCAATCGTAGTTTGTCATCAGTAAGTATCTTAACATCCAGCTCTACATCTTTTAACTGCATATAGTTCCAGAGGAAAGGTTAGATTAATGACAAATACTCGATAAACATAGATAAATTGGACTTGGATCTTTTGGCATCATCTTTACAATTCTAACTTTAGATTAAGATAAAAAGAGAACCATGTCATGAACTAACACCCAAGCAAGAAATTCAAACCTGCTCTTCCAGATCATTGTTGTAACCCTGAAACTTATTTCTTTCATCTTTTTCCCTGACTTCAATCCTATTCCCATCTTTCAGACCACCAGCATTATCACTTCGTTCATCATATCTGCGGTTCCCTCTGTAGTCTTCATCTCTGTAATGATTAGAGATATAAGGGCACTTTTAAAACATGTCGAAACCATCAAATTACCACTAAGATTTCACATGGCATGAGTAGAAGTAGAGCCGAGGGGAGAAGAAAGCCTACCTTCGCCTCTCAAATGGTCTGTGATTTTCATGTCCTGCAAGTTATAATTCCATCGGCAGAAATCAGAAGAAAGACATACAGAACGAGAAATTGACAGAGAATTTTGATTGTGCCTAACAGACAATCAACAAAAGCTCCAAAAACCCAAAGCTACATCTTACCACTAAATCTTTGAAACCTTCTTCCACTTCGGTCCAAAGAATGTCTCCTTTCTGGAGAAAACTGTCTACCAAGTTTATTTCTTAAGTCGATATCCAGATTGTGACGTCTGCCTGCAGTAAACGAAACAGACTTTGCAGTAAAGCATAACTTGTATTACACTCCATTTCAAAAATCAGAATCATGCCAGTCAACAACACTTGGATAAGATCACAGAAGACTACAAATAACATAAAAAGAAAAAATGCTTTGGTGCTTACTTGCCAGCTCAAAGAGACCACAAATAAATGTCCTCTTCTTACCAGCAGTTGGAGAAAAGCCACAATTCGGCACTAAATAAGTGGAAGGCACTGTATCTCATCGATGAATAATAGTTGACAATGCTGGATGAGAGAAAATAATAACCAATCTTGAAGATCCATTCAACTACACAATCACAGTCCACCAAAATATGATATTCAATTCCTTCTGACAACAACACACCCAAGAACTGCATATTTCTTGATCCCAGAAACTGCATGTGAGACGATCGGATATATAACAATCCTGGGGATATTATGCTCTGTACACCTCAGAATCAAAGAATCCCAGAGCTATCCATCTCAGAATCTAATAACTGGGGATCAAAGAACAAAGAATCCGATATCCCAGAACTTGGATGAAAATGGCAGAAGTCATAACAATAGGCATTGATAAATCCTAATAACAGGCACTGATTGGCCACCAAAACTTGGGGAATGAAAACCATGGTTGTGGACGAATAAATACCCCGAAAAACCCATGATTGATTGGTTTTCTTCAAAAAAGAATGCGCTCAAGAGCAGTAAGAAAACCAATATAAATTTAAGCAGGAAAGACCAGCAGATTCCACTCCAGAGTAAAAACAATACTAAAGAGTAAAGCCTTTCAGTAGCTATCTTTCTGCAAATGGAACAGCCATATTCCCCAATGATTCCGCAGGAGAAAAACTAATCAGCAAAACAAACTGGTCACTATACGATGATAACCAAACTCCAAAGAAACCTTCTAACACTGATACCATATGTCAATCAAATAATTCACAGAATGATTCAAAGAGACTTGATCATATGGATCCTTCCACCATTGACATAACTTAAACACGAAAGTGAAACCAATAGCTTATGGTTAAATGCAGAAACGAAACTCCCTTAACCTGTGAATGAAGATTCCCCAGGACGACGAAGCTCAGCAGTTCCATGAGCAAACGTGCAATTCGGCCTCGAACATGTACCACTCTTCCTGTACAGAACGCAAAGCTTCGTCTTGTACATACTCGACCCAGACATGACTTAAACCGATAACAACGACGAGCTCTTTCTTCCAAATACTCTTTCAGATCAAAAACTCAAAAGTCAAGCAACCTCCATAAAAGCATAGACTAACCATCAGCGTCTCGTTCCTACACAAGAACCAGAATCAACCCTTCAGATGAAAACCTCTGGACTCTCACTGGAATTAGATTCTAAAATCCTACCAACAACATAACAATATCGAGCTATGAAGAAAGAAGAATTTAAACCGAAGAACAAGAGCCTGAGAAAATCGAAAACCAACCAAAAGCGATTCTAAGGCTGTTTAATTTTCACTGTAGGTTTATCTTTGAACCACCTTCTTCTTCCTCTTCTTCTTGGAAAACCAAACGGCAGCCGGAGTAATAAGCCGGACGGAAGTGAATATCTCCGGGAAATGAAAACTTTATACGCAATATGAGAAATGCTTAAACAATTAGGGATCGATCGAACAATTAACTATTTATATATTTTTCTACATCAATAAAAATAGAACTCGAGTTCACTATTTTGCCCTTCTGCATTAATGCCGTAACGATGTATATAGAAAACCCAAGAAACAAATCAACAATGGATTAAAGTACAGAATTAATTTCACTAGATACTCTATGTGTGTTGTATACTATAATTTACATATTTTAAGTAATTAGAGATTTTTATTGATAAACTAGAAATATATTTTAGTATTTTTGCAAACATTCATATGATGTATCATGTAACTAAATTAAAAAGTGAATCTTACAACTCTACATTAAATTTTCCACCATCTCTCTATAAGCAACATATGAACAAAGAGAATCATGTACACTTTATATTTTTATGAATGTTAACAAATGGAAGGGATAAAAAAACAGACCGAGATTTTCTTTCTTAATTCAAAATGAAAAATAATGCAATCAAAGTGCATAATCAGCCAGTCAGGAATGAAATTTGAACACATAACTTGTATATTTCCTAGAAACAAAAGTCCCCTGTTTTATTTATTTTAGAAATGATAATTTATCGTTGAGAATAGGAAGATTTGGAAAGTAAGCAAAAATGTTAAATCTAAATTCTAGAAAATTAGAATAGATCTTGTTTAAAATGGTTTGGGAAAGAAGTTTTTAGTTAAGTAAATGTATCAGATAACCAGTTACTATTCGTAATTAGGTAAATAGGAAAAGATACTATTTAGACATTGTGTTATATGAATAAGGTGAACAGGAAGAGACATTATTTAGACATTGTGTCTTTTTCAATATAACACTTTTATCCTCTAACTCTCTCTATCTCCCACGATCCATTGATTTCATCTCTTATATTTGTTTTTTCTTTTCTCTTTTGTTCCCTGTAAAAAAAACAGTTTCTCTTCTTCTTTTTCAATGTCATTGTAAAACCCTAGAATAAGTCTTGAAAGTTGTTGCTTCAAGTTTTAGTGGATTTCTTTTTCTTTTAACTTTCTCGCCGAATTTCTCTGATGCTATGAGTCTATGACGAAATCGCATTTAGATATTCTCTGTTTCTTTTCCTTTTTACTCGGTTCTGCAATATGAGGTTTTTCTGGTTTGATTTTGATTTCCACAAAAGAACTAATCAAAGTTGTTGATTTTATCTATTTCAGAGTTACTTTTGTTTAGTTTCTTCTCTAAAATTTTAAATTTTGTATAAAGATTCTGTTTCTTCTCTGAAATTCTGCATCTGAGATTGGGAAATAGATTGTTGAAGGCGAAGATCTCGATGAACATTAAAAAATAGATTATTGAACATGTTAACTATTGTTTTAATGTAATATATAATTTGTTTTTAAAATTTTTATTGTATCGCGTTAAACAAATCAATATCATATTCATACTTTTAAAATAATCTAAATAGCTGTCAATATCTAAGCTCTAAAATGTAGTTAGCTGCCAACATCGTAACTCTAGCTAAGTATAATGTATTGAAAAAACAGAATATATTAGTAAATACAAATATTATATTAAAGATGATAAAATAAATTGTTAGCGGATAAAAAATAGTATATTCGAAATGATAAATAAATTATTAGCGAATACAAATTTAGTATTAACAAGATAATATAGGTTTTACTTATGTAAATTTAGTGTTAGCAAAATAACATAACATTTACTATGCTAACAAAGTTTGTAGTATGATAACAAGTTATGTATATAATTACATAACTAACTTATATGTTCAAAAAAATGATGGAAGAGAAACTTAATATGAAAAAAAAATAAAAGAAAAAAATGGGTAAAAAATAATAATACACTCAATAGGAAAAAATACTTTAACAATAATCTCATATCAAAAAATACTTTAACAATAATCTCATATCAGTTTACTATTTTTTCCATTTTCCTGACCAGATTTTAGAATTACTAGCCAATTTACTCTTTTTAGTTTTAAATTAAAGTCATGTAATTCAATTTATAAATTTTGTTTCATTCAAGGATTAATGCAGAACAATTCAGTTGTCTTGACACACTTGCTCCTTCAACAATTTTCTAACGTAAAACCTGGACTACCATTAGCTAGATCATCATGTCTGTTTAGATAACAAATTGGGAACGTCGAGAACAGAGAATCAGAAGAAATAACATTACGTCAAAGTCGAATATCATTATATGTTTTTCTTCATTTATAAATACATACTAAATTGAATGATACAACGTTTACAGTTATGAAAACTCAACAAATACACATAACAAACATGGTCAAAACTTCGATTAGTGTAGAACGATGTCATCAATCCAAACTTGGTCAAAGGAGTCTTCTCAGCATCAAAGGGACAGAACTAATCCGTTAAATACACCTTGTTTGATGAATGTTGGCCATATCAAATGTCAAAACTTCAATCGAAAACAAAAATATCTCAAACAAAACCATAACATCATCACCAACAAAAACTCATAACATTGAATTTAAAGACACAAATTTGCAGATAAATGTGCGAGGCATTTCCAGGATCAATTGACATAGAAAAAAGGCCAAATGATCAGGATATACCACAACCTAATCTTGCGTCAATGCCATTATACCTGAAGGAACAGTTTTATCCCCAGAATTGGTAATGGACGCTTTCAACACCATATTCAATAAACAAAACTCTAAACCAAAATTTAGGGATAATTCAATATGCTCAGTGGAAGGAGAAGTCGTTTAATTAGGAGAGCTCACGGCAAAACAATATTGTATTGTCTTGTCCACTGCCCTTCACGCACCTTCGTGCTATTTTATCATCATCGCATCAAAATCCCACAACAACAAACAAATTAAACAAACACGAAAAGAGCCTCAGTGTGTGTAACAATTCAGATCATTGATTCAAAAAAATCTCACTGAAATCCGCTAAGATAATTTTTATCCTCATAGGCCATATCTATAAACACAAACAAACAATCAAAACAAGAAATACAATCGAAGATTGTGGTGAGCGAAAAGGGATACTCAGACAGCCAAGGGTTGTATCTTCAAATTCTGGGAGAAGAAGCCCAGATCTGAAACTCTAGTCCACGAAATATTCGTATCATCACCATATCCTTAACGCCCCCACCCATAAAACGAAAACGAATCAATACTTTATCAACAAACCAAAAAAAATACCTAAGATTCATTGTAAAAACAACAGTAAAAGGAGAAAATTAAGAAGCAGTTCTGATGTTTCAATTGATTAAAGAAGACGAACGATATATATACAGACGCTGATACGGATTGCCTTTGCAAATTAGGGTTTTCGTATCGCATAGCGGCTACAACACTTTCGTTTAGGGTTGTTTTTTTGTTTTTCAAATCGAGCCTAATAATTAAAATCTGGCCCTTAATCATTAAGCCCAATGAAAGCCCATAGAGTTATTATTTAATTTAGTAGAGGCTGTAGAGCCAAGTGCAAACCGTAAAATAGAAATGAAGGATGAAAGGAAATGAAAAGTTGAATTGGTGTTCATATCTTCTCCGACAATCGGTTATCTCTAGTTTCTAGGGTAACAATGGAGTTAGAGAAGCTACTTATCCAGCAAGACGAACGTAGAATTTGCATGCATGCTTTTACGTGTGTGATGTAACCTACCGCAAGAAGCCAATAACCAACACTACAAGAAAAAAGTCATATTATGACAAAAAAAATTTGTCACAATAAACCCAATTCCGTAACAATAAAATTATTGTGACTAAGTTGTGACGTTTTGTTGACAGTCACAATACAATCCTCACAAATTTTTTTTCGTAGTAAAAACGTCACAGACATTATAACGAATATATCTAGTAAGTAATTCGTCATCAATAGCGACGAAAAATAAAAGTAACAAAAATATATCAATTAAAGACAAAAGAAATCGTTTCAAAGTCGTTATAATTCGTGACTGTTATAGTTTCCCAAATCTATCACTTATTTTGACGAAATTGTAGTTACCAAATCGTCACCAGTAAAGACTAAAGAGTCATTGCATTTTCGTTACACATACATACTAAAAATAGTCATAATACCGTCATATTTCATGACTATTACAATGTCTTAATTATGTCACTTATGTTGACAAAACTTTAGTTACAAATCATCACAACTAGTGACATAAAGAAAATATTTAAAAATACTATTTTTATTATATTATTTTCATAAATGAAACCATGATACAAAAGACCAGTATTACAAAGTAAATGTACATTATTAAAAATTAAGTTTATACAACTTTTATATATAAACTTGTTAATAAAGGATAGATTGCTCAGTAGTCAGCATCATCTTCAGATCTCAAGCTTGACCTTTAACGCCTTGCAGGAAATCTCTTTAACGCCTTGCAGTAAATCTTAAACTTGTCTTTGCCCGAAGAAGCTTTTATCTGGTCGAAAACTTGCAAACCTGGCTCAATACCTATCTCTTAATCCAAGATTGAAGCATCTTCCCACTTCTGCTGTGATGTGAAACTTGCGAAGGTCTGGATTCTGTTTGATGAAACCTGCTCACACAACTTTGAAAAATAAGAGGATGAGCACCCCCAATATATATATATATATATATACCTTATACTTTATATTTTATAGTTTATATCATTAAACATTAAACCCCAAATGCCATAAACTATAAATAAAAGATTCACTAACTTTTTATTTTTATTATGTATATTGTAGTTTTTTCTATTCCATTTTATGCTCTTCTTATGAAACAATAAGTTGTTGTATAGTTTTTTATAACCTGAGAAATAATAAAGATATATTACAAGTGTGAATCTCTAAACTCTAAATCAAACACTCTTTAATCCAAAAAAATTATTAAATTTCTATTGTAATTAAAAATATATTTCAAATCCTATACCTATATACTCTAACCCCCAAATTCTACACTCATTATCTTTTTCTTTTAATTTTGTATTTTGTAATAGTTTTTTCTATTCTATTATGTGTTCTCAGTAGAAAAAAATATTTTATATTTTCTTATTTCAATTCATATAAAAAATAAAAAGAAATTTTATACCCTAAATCATATACATTAGTCAATAAAAATTATTATATTTCTATTATTAATAGCACTGAACAATATTTGACTCACTCGCTGGTTATTTGACATTTGTTACTTTTTTGTTCATAAATTTTTACCTAAAATTTTATTAGTATATTAGATTAGTAATGCTAATGATCCAAAATGTTCAACATACAACAGCATCTTCGACTTCTTAAAATCAGCATATACACATTGTTTAATTTCTTCAAAAGCAATTCATCAGATACAAGATTTTAGGGAAAATAAAATAAAATAGAAAAAGAAATTAATTCAATTGAGTTTTTGGGTGTTTATCTGAATTAAAATTATTTTCTTATTTATGTTTAAATAAAATTGTAATTTTAATCTTATCACAAAGTGGAAACAATTATGTCATAATCTATGACTAAACTCAAAAGTCACTAAAATAGTAACTAATTGTGATGATGTATTTACAAAACGTTTGTAGTTTTTAGTGACTTAAGTTTAGTCACAAAAATTGTATGATTTAGTTACTAGATTTGGTAGCAAATCTGTAACAATATTTGTAACTATATATTTTGTAATAATTACGTTATGATTAGTGACAAAAGTTTGTTACTTTCAATTTGGTCATAATATTATGACGAAATGGTAACGCTTTTATGACCAAATAATTTTGTCACGGTTTCGTATAAAAATCATAACAAAATTGTTACAAACAAAATTAGTCACAATTTTTCGTAACAATATTCACTTTTTCTTGTAGTGCAATCTTAAAGAAAAACAATTGAATATTTAAAATGGGTAGAAAAAACACTTGAGGATAACAATTGAATATTTAAAATAGGTAGAAAAAATACTTGAGGATTTTTTCTGCGCACACGAAAAGTTGAAGATTTTAAAAGCTCATTGAAATTAAGTTGAGGATTTTATATAGAATTTCCATATAAAATCATCAACTTAATTTCAATGAGCTTTTTAAATCATCAACTTTTCGTGTGCCAAAAAAAAAACTTCAAGTATTTTTCTACTTATTTTAAATCCTCAGTTATTATCCGTGTGATCATTTTACTTCAATTTGATTTGGAGATTTTGCTTCAATTTTGTCGAGATTTAATTTATATCGAGTTTTATGTTAACCATTGCTTAACCACGATGAGTACTATTGCTAGTTTGTTAACGGGATTCAAATGATGTTTCTATTTTCATTTAGTATCGTTTCGTATACGCTGTAAATTAACTATACGAATAACAATTGAATATTTAAAATGGGTAGAAAAAATACTTGAGGATTTTTTCTGCGCACACGAAAAGTTAAAGATTTTAAGCTCATTGAAATTAAGTTGAGGATTTTATATTGAATTTTCCCTACTATTATTGTGAATAAATTGTGTTTTTGTTATAATTTATGTTTGGTATTACATGTCAATAAGGTGTCATAAAATAAAATAGCATGATATTTTCAAAACTGAAGGCAAAATTTTGGATAAGGCTTTGTAATGGTATAGCTATATTGTACAACTTGGAGGACTCCAAGTCCAACAATGTGGGATTGGATGAGAAATTATGTGGTAGTACATGATGATTTCAAGGATTTCTTTTGCTTTGGGATGTAGATACAAAGTGAAGATTTGTCATGGGGAAAGATGTAGAGTTAGTTGTAATTAATACAAAAGCTTTCTGAGGGTGTATGAGCGATCTATATATGTTCGGAACCAGAACCAGAACCACGATTTGTAGGGGTTACAGGGAAAGAAAATGATTGCAACTTGTAAGTAAGCACCGTGACAAGATATAGATTCTAGAGTTGAATGAAAAAGAATATCTACCTCAAAGGCTCAAACCATGAAAGGACTTGATTATCCAAAAATAAGTGTTAGAAGCCCCATTTTGAATAATGAAAAAATTTGTATATTTTATTTCAAAATCTTCGTCTCCAATATACTAAATGTAGTTTGGGCTAAGATGACAGAATAAGTAAACAATATGGTAGTCACTATTTAGACTACCATATTTGTTGTAGAATGTCTAAATAGTGTAGTAAAACATTTTCATTGTTAATAATGACAAAAAGATGTCCATTGTAACGTGACTAACGTCTCTGACTCTTCAAAAAGAGTAACACGTTGCATGTATTCGTCATCTACATTGGAATTGTGATGAAGTCATTTAATTGTAACGTCTCTCTCATCGTTTTTGTTTTCTTCATATAGATATAGATCTTATATTAATTTCACTTAAATTTTATTCTGATTATGTAGATGATTTGATATGCAACTAATAAATATGTCAATGTAAATGGGCTCGGATTTCCTGCCCCAAAAACAGAACCAAACAAAAGAAACCGAAACAGTGTCCCCTATTTAAATTAGTATAAAAACCTCATTTGATACTTCTCATAAACGTCATCACTTTGAGGATTCAGACAAAAGTACCAAAAAAGGAAAAGAATCTAGACAAAAGATAAACATGAAATCTGAGCTTGTGTTCATACCGTTTCCAGGAATCGGCCATCTCAGATCAATAGTAGAGATGGCGAAGCTACTAGTCAAGCGAGAAAACCACCTCTCTATCTCCATAATCATCCTTCCTTCTCCTTTAGGAGGCGATGATGTCGATGCTTCTTCCTACGTGGCAGCTCTCTCCAGCGAACGCATCCGCTACGAATCGATCTCCGACGGAGATCAACAGAACGAAGAGCCAACAAGGGTCGACAAGCACATCGAAAATCAAGTGCCAAAGGTAAGACGAGCCGTCGCGAGACTCGTGGAGGACGACAAGTCCACGAGACTCGCAGGGTTCGTCGTCGACATGTTTTGCACCTCGATGATAGACTTGGCGAATGAGTTTGGTGTTCCGAGTTACATGTTTTACACCTCCAACGCTGGAGCTCTCGGGCTTGGCCTTCACGTTCAGAGACTTTACGATGAGAATAAATACGATGTTAGTGAGTTGGATTTGGAAAACTCGGAGGCTGAGTTGGTCGTTCCGTTTTTGACACGTCCTTATCCGGTGAAGTGTCTCCCACGCAATCTCGCATCGAAAGAGTGGTTCCCTATCTTTGTAAACCAATCAAGAAGATTCAGAGAGATGAAGGGTATTTTGGTGAATACTGTTGCTGAGCTTGAACCTTATGCGTTGGAGTCTCTCTCCAGTGGTGATACTCATACTCCTCCTGTATATCCAGTGGGACCACTGTTGCATATTGATGATTCCAAGGAGGAGAAACAATCGGAGATTTTAGCATGGTTAGACAAGCAACCAGCTAGATCGGTGGTGTTCCTCTGCTTCGGGAGCTTTGGGAGTTTCAGTGAGGAACAAGCAAGAGAAATCGCCGTCGCGCTAGAGCAAAGCGGCCGCCGTTTCTTGTGGTCACTCAGACGAACGTCTTCGAATGTATTCAAGGAACCTCCAGGAGAGTTTACGAATCTTGAGGAAGTTTTCCCGGAAGGGTTTCTTGATCGGACGGTGGAGAGAGGGAAAGTGATCGGATGGGCTCCACAGGTGGCTGTTCTTGCGAATCCAGCGATAGGAGGTTTCGTCACTCACTGCGGGTGGAACTCGACGCTAGAGAGTCTCTGGTTTGGTGTGCCAACTTTGGAATGGCCTCTTTACGCAGAGCAGAAATTCAACGCTTTTGAAATGGTGGAGGAGCTTGGCTTGGCGGTGGAGATAAAAAGATATTGGAGAGGAGATATATTCGCCGGAGTGAAGGAGGAGCTGGTGACGGCGAAGGAGATTGAGAGAGGGATCATGTGTCTGATGGAGGAAGATAGTGAGGTGAGGAAGAGAGTGAAGGAGATGAGCGTGAAATGCCGTGTGGCTTTAATGGATGGTGGATCGTCGCATGTTGCTTTGGAAAAGTTAATCCAAGACGTTACGATGAATATCGTTTCGTCGGTTAGGGAATTGGAGAATGTAAATGTAAGTTTTTGAATGATAGGCAATTAGGCATAAATAGAACGCACAAGAAAGTTGGATTGTAATAGCCGTCGATGTGATCTTAAATACTACTTTGAAGTGGAGATGAAGGAAATGATGGATGGAACCAGAACCACAATTACTACTAAGAAACAATGGTTCTTGTCAATCATTTTCCAAATTTTGAAAGCAAAGCAGGTTTTCTACATTAACACCTGGAAACTGTGATTACAATGTGTCGAACTGTCTATTTTTGTATCAAATTATGGATTCTAATGTTTAAATCATAAAATTATGAAAAATAATTGTCTCCTACGGTAGCATGTACTATATTATCCTATATTAGTCAATACCAATAACAACTGGTTACTATTAAATCGCGACTGTAGAATATTATTTATCTTTAATTCTGCATATTGGCATTGGTTAATGTCAGATTTATAAATTATAATAAGCTTTTTATGGGTTTTTAGTGGGCTTTTTATGTGTTTGTTAGTTTTTCTTTAAAGCATGAAGAAAAAAAAACTTGAATTTTTCAAGTTAATTAGTGTGTTTTCAAAAAAAACATTAACACCTTTTGTGACTTTGTGTTGTAACAAGATTGTTTCTCAAAACTGTTTTACTAAATACCAATAAATTGATTTTCAAAAATGTAATCAAAGGGTAGTCTTGTAGAGATAACAAAGTAGTTTCTGTATATTTTATGTACCTTCAATTGGAGGTACGATTATTATTGAAAATTTCATAATGATTCACATTTCAATTGAACCATAACAGATATTTTTCGGGTGCATAAACACAAATCAAAAACAACATCAAAATCAACTTAACAACACCTTTTCCCTAAGAATAAAAAAACACAAACAACAATATAACACAATTAAGAAAAACAGAGCACCCACCACTATCCCGATCAGGCTAACTTAACTTCCGGCGACAGAACATCTTGTCCTGATTACGCCGGTTGAGCCCGTCTTCACTTTAACCCTTCCCATCTTCTCCATCGACTTAGCGAAAGCCTTGTAAAACTTCTTTTCGGAACCGTTGACCAAGTCGTTGATCATCTTCAACGTCGCTGAGTTGGTCGTCAGTGCAGAATCAGACTGAAACAGACCTCTCCTCTTCAGGACAAGCCTGTAATAACTAAGATCGAAACTTCTGGCGCTACCTGGATCCATCTCGAGGATGGTGGTGTTGTCGTTGAGGCTTTTACATTTGTTGGCCTTTAGATTCGTTGCGTATTCGCTGTCCAGAGCTGGATCTTGTTTGACTGTCGTCGAGAAGTTGTAGAGACGAGAATTCATTGAAGAACAATGCGAGACACCGATCGTGTGAGCCCCTGAAAATTCAAAGAGAGTTAAAAGTTTGACAAACCAACCTTAAATGAACGGTTACATGTAATTTAGTATTTCCTAGTAAATTACCGGAGAGGAGGACAAGGTCTTTGAGATTAAGGCCTTGGTTAGCGAAAAGTCGTTGTAACGTCGTGAAATTACTTGTCGGAGGTGGAATGTTGTTCAAAGCCTCTGTTGAGTTTGAGATCCTACCGTCTCTTCTTCCGGTCGGAACACTCCACGAAGGACCTCCCTGTCGGAAAGTTTTCAAGGGTCACATTTTGTTTAGGTTTACAAAAGTGAGCCGCTAAATCTTTTTCTTTTTTTTTTTTATATATAGTTTGATTACTTACGGTGGCAACAACTGCATCTCTAGCGGTCAAAGCGATGATATCGGCGCAAGAAACAGTCTTAGGACACACTGCTTCAAGAAGAGTCTTAATCCTCTCTACGAAACCGAATCCTCTTAGTGTTAGATTCGGTGGTGCATCTTTCTCTGCGTTCCCAGTTGTCGAATTTATCAACACTGATCCATCGCATCCCTTCATTTATTAATTTTTTTTTCCAAAATCAATTGTCAACATTAAACAAAAAAAATCTCAAAAATTATGCTCTAGCTCGAATTTACTACTATCAAATTACCATTTTTTAATTTATTTGATATAATACAGTACATCTTGTCGATTATCTCATTGTCAATACCAGTTTAAAAGATCGCATCACAGATGTAAACGTTTTTTTTTTTTTTTGGTTTGAATACAATTTAACACTCATCCAAAAAAAAAAGATTATCTCATCATTATGAGTAATCTATTGAACTGGATGTGTGTGGATATTAACGTGTGAATAATAATTAATACATATGTACATAATATACGAACAAAAATCTAAAATTAATGAGACCAAATTAAATAAATACCCTGACAAAGCAATCGTGGAAGTGCATCCTGATGAGAGGAGCAGCAAGAGAAGGACCATTATGGATATGCTTTTCAATATGATCTGAAATTATTTTCTCGGCATTTGGACAGCTCTTTGCGTAGAAATTCATTTGAAGCTGAGCCTCGGATGATCCTAACATTCCCATAAGAACCGTGGCTGCAACCGCAACCACAACCATAACAATCCCTTGCTTCATCGTCTTGCTTGAGTTTTGTTTCTCAATATTCTTTTTTTGGTTTTGTGTCACTGAAGAAAGACAAGATACAGAGCAATAATGGAGGGGGCCTATTTATAATAGGAATGACCAATATGGTAAAGTAAACATAAAATTTATGTAAACAGGAACTACCCAAAACAACTATGTAAAACCCAAATTAAATCATATTTTATGTGTATAAATTAAGGAAAAAACACAAATTGAAGTAAAAAAAAGTAAACCGAATAGAATTTTGTGCTTTTTAACTAGATTGTTGATATTAAAGATTTATTCCAAAAACAAAACAAAAAAAAAACCAAAAATCTGAAGTGATGCAGTTTATATACCCTAATAAGCTCCATGATTAGCTGTATTAAAATCTTAATTTGTGGTCATCTGAATGAAGTAAAGAACTAATGAAAGATATATAGAGTTTATTTATATAGGAAAGGACCTTCATCTCAATGAGTAGAACTAAGAGGTCTTAAATAATTAATATCACATGTGACCAGTGTATTTATTATTATTTTAAAGCAGGCCTATCACAATTATATATACTTATCATATTATTTCTTTAAAAAAGACGTAAATTGCTTTTTACATTACATGCATCAAGGTATTATATATAAAAAATATTTGTTTAAAACGGTAAAGTGGTTTACATCACTCATGTGAAAAATAATAGCATTGATTTATTGTCTATGACTTAATATAAAAATAATCTATATACGGAAAAACTACAAATGCAAAATGTAAGAAGCCATATGAATATAAGTTAACTACATAGAAGAGAAATTGTTTAAAATTAGAATATATAAGTTGTTTTCTTAGCAAAAAACACTCTTCACCAGAAATTTTGAATTCACTACTCTCAAGTTTATGAGCTGGCCCTGAACTGCATATTTTTTGCATTGGCCGCAAGCTATAGAGCAAAAAATAGGCTGTTTTGCATATTTTTTTTAAAAAATAGACTGTTTTGTTTTCAAAAATTTTTATGTAAAAATAAGGGCCGCAAGCATGAGCTTGGTTTGTTTTGTCTCAAAGCCGGCTCTGAGTTTATCCTAAGTTTATCTATTGTAATAAATGTTTTCTTAGCAAAAAACATTTTATATGTGGTTCTCAGCAATTTCAGTTTGATGAATAAAGTTTTTTGTTGATAAAAAAAATAAGTTAAAAAATTAATAAAAATTTAAAATATTACTAGTAATATGCTAATCATAAAATTTAAATTATGTTAATTACAAACATAATATCAAACAAACATACCAATTTATTGTCATCGGTTTTTCTAACTACGATTTCCAGCAATAGTTAGCCATTTCAGAAACTTTTTCTTTATTAGTTTTTAGTCAATTTTTTTAGGAGTAAAGACAAGAGCAAGTAAATTATTTCATTGTGGACATCTTGAACAGCAATAGTACTGTCTTTTCCAACATGATTGTAAATTACTCTGGATTTTAGTTCGATATCCCTTCAATTATCAAAATAAGAAGATCCCAACATTGGCGAGTGACCTAAAGAAAATGAAGGAGTAGCAGCCTCCACATACTGTCCCAGAACCACAACCTACAATTACTGTGTCCTTTTTTTTTTTCGGACGTTCAACTTTGATAGGGTTGCAGATAATAAAAGAACACAGCTAAATTGAGTCGAATGAGCCGAACCGGAATATTTGAATATCTAGTTCGGTTAGATTCGGACTGAAATACATATTTAATCTTAAATAAAGTCTTTTGAACATTTGAACTAAATTAATAATTCACATGTAGTTCTTTTGAGTTTTAAATTGCACAATAATAAAATCTAAATTTACAGTATAGACCTACTTTTTGTCGTCGTCATATATACCCACTTATTAAACTAACAATACTTTATACTTTTCTATATTTTATTACTATATATATTCTCTAATACGCGCGTGAACAAAATAATCATGACCAGTAATTTCCATTCCAAACAAAATTCAGTTTATATAATAGAACGAGGTAATTTTCCATGATGCTGTCAAATTATCCACGACCAACATGGCAGAAATATTTGTTAAATTATGTATTTTTATAATATTCATTTATTAACGAAATTTATAATTTTGATACTATTAAGGAGTGTACAATAATAATCTATAACACGATGGAATAATATTTTTCTATCAGATGATGGAAAATTTGATTAAATATTCCGAAATTAAAGTGTTTTTTCTTTCTCTGCTAGGCAGTTAATTAGGGAACTTGTTTTCCTACTTTTCTTGCTGCCATGGCCCATACACATAGTGAAATGCGAAACTACTCTTACCCATTTATTATATGTTATATGAGCTCTAGATATTAGCTGTTGGTAGAAGAACGCGTCAAAAATAAAATTTGAAAGAAAAACTATCGGATCAGAACATTTCCAACATCATTTGATATTTTAATTTGTAAACACACTTTTCAACTTTGATCGAAGGCACAATACATTATACAATTGGCAAAAGCGAGAAAAAAAGAAAAGAAAAAAAAAGAGAAGGAACAATGACAAGGAAAGATACCAACGCATAATCACCAAAACCCACTCACTTTTTTTTTTCCACTTACACAAACAAGTTTACAAATTTAGATATAATCGAAATATATGTATAATAAAAATTAAAATTGCAAAATATAAGAATAGTCATTATATACATAAAGATATTTTTCTTTTTTCTTTTTTTTTTTTAAAAAAAAAAACTTAAAAAAAAAAATACATAAAGATATAACACATGGGGGAAATTGGTCATAAAATATATACATATATATATATATAATATACAAGGCATATGATATGTATGGAAGAAGGATCCATATACAGTATTCGGCAAAAATTGAGGACACCCGATGCAGTTACAATATTTGATATCCATCTTGTCTTCTACGGTCAAGGATGAAATTGCTTCAAGGAATGGCAAACTAACCATAGTAAGAGTTAGTTAAATCCTCCAAAAGAGCATACTTAAGGTAAAATATATATTTTGTAATATATGCTTTTTCTGGATTTTCCACTTTAACAATCCTAAAAAAAGTTATAATTTAGTCACTAATATGATTAGAAAAATACATGATTAAATTCTAAAAAGAGTATGAAAAAAAATATATATATATATAGTTTGCTCATATTACTTTTCCTTGTCGTCGACAAAAAAAAAAAGAAGACAAGGTTTTCCTTGTCATGTTTATTGCCAAAACCTTGTTGTCCTCTCTTTCATTGTATTCGTCGTTAATTTGTCATTACCAAATTTCTTGGGAAATCGTAATTTAAAAAAAGAATAATAATAATAGGAAGAGTTGACTGAATCGTACAAGAAACCCGTAAATAACGAAGTATGATTGTTTTTGTTAGGAAGTCACTTTTAAAATGATTTGAACTATTTCTAAAGCGATAGAACATTTTGAGATATATAAAAAGTCATTCTGCAATGGCTTAGACACAAATACCTAAGTTTTGTAATATATAAAAGGATTTGTGGTTTGTGACATATATAGTTTAATGGATCAAAAAAATTCAAAGGGTGGCAGGGAAATTTGACCTAGAGTAATACCGACTAAAGTTTCCATATCTTCTCCTTCTTGTTTGGTAGATAGTTGTTGGCAGGTACCCTTAACAGACTTCCGAAATTGGCTCATTCCCTTCAACATGGTTATTTCGTTATTAGTAATTTTTTTGGAAGAACTCATTTCCTTGAATCAAGAAAACCCTGTAAAACAAAAAGGCATTTGTTCCAAATTATAAAATATTCAGCATTCAAAGCTTATATAACTTTTCTAAAGAAAAAGTATAAGTCACTGTTAAAAATTCTTGTAAATAACAATCAGGAGTTTAAGTGTTAGAGTTAAGATTTAATTTGATTGTTGTCAAAAGAAAAAAATTAATGTAAAAAAAAGGTCTATTTTCAATAGTAACTCGGGAACGTGAACAAAATCATCATTATCCAGATAAAAATCTTAGCCCTCAATCTGTCTTAACCACTGTGCGATCACCAATTTTTCACGGGTATTAGCGTAGAAATAATATTTTGCTTGGCTTGAGAGTCTTGTGAGACTTTTTTGATTCATCGCTTTTAATCATTCACTGTCTTTATCTTTTACGTTTTTTAAACTATTTAGTTTCTTGCAATTTTAAAATAGAACTAAAGTGCACAAATATAAGTCTATAGCTAAGACTACTAACTTCCCCACTAAGTATGAGAGACTATTTTTGTGAACACTGTTTTAAATTTTAAAAGTTCTCATGATCCATCGTTAGATGACTGGGCTAATACCTTCAACTTAAAAGCAAACACATGGTATGCATATGGTTAAGTGGACATGAAACAAGGCCTGTAATGGTGAGCTAACTTTAGCCCATAGTTTCTAGACTTTTTGATCGGGCTTCCATTTGCAACAGTAAAAAACGTTTTTACAAAGAATGCATCAATCTTTAAAAGTTTTCTAACTAATTAAAACTAGAAGAGAAAATCTAAATTTATCAAGTAGCAAATCAAAGCTACATTTGTCATATGTAGCATCTCTCATACAATATATTGCGGATTTGTTTGTCTATGGAGGGGGGATTCGTCATGTCTTCTACCGTTTATTTTCCGCCAGATAAAATAAATTGTTATCTGAAAACCATATAAAAAACAACAATAACTTGTCTTATTTCGTCAACTAAGGAGAGCAAGAATGCAATCCCATTGTATCATATAGTTTGAAGCCAGAAGATTTTTGTTTTTTTGGAGAGTTTCAGATTTAACCTGAATTTAAAGTCAAACACCAAACTAACTTCTTTTTTTTTCTCTCCAACTTTTGCCATTTTATCACAATTCTATCATTCTCACTCAAGATATTAACGAAAATGCCATTATAAATCTATTATTTCGATTTTTTAAAATATTAGCTAAAGTCTCTTTGGACCTCTTAAAACCTTTTTTATTACAATAATGCTATCTTCTTCAATACCTTCAACCACCATGAACAACCCAAAAAATAGAATAAATGCTTCTCAACCAATTTTAAAGCTATAATAAGTTAATATGAGAGCTCATACACTCATAACCTTCTATATTCTTTCCTAATTTCTTCTCTAAAATTT